ATGTTTTGTGTGGAAAAACATAGTATACAGATTTGGAATCCCCAATTCCATCATCACGGACAACGACAAACAATTCATCGACAAGGGATTGACCGAGTTTTATGAGGGCTTGCACATCACTGACAGAGTTAATTCTGTCAAGCACCCCCAAACTAACAGACAAGTAAAGGCAACCAACAAAGTGGTTCTGCTCGAGCCAAGAAAGAGACTGAGAGAGCGAAATGAAGGTGAGCCAAGGAGCTTTTAAAAGTATTATGGACATATCGATACCCCTCAATCTTCAACCGGAGAGACACCGTACAACCTCACATATGGGACAAATTCCATAATCCCCGTAGAAATCAACGAGAGATCTCTACGCCAACAGTTGTTTGACTAGGGAGAAAATGAGCAAAGCATGAGGGTAGAGTTGGATTTGGTCGAGGAGGGGAGAGATCAGGTGGTCATTCGAGATGCAACGTCAAAACATCAAATGATGCAAAAGTACAACTCCAAGGTACCACCGAGAAATTTTCGTGAGGGCGACCTAGTCCTTCACCTACGAAGCACAACGAGGAAGAATTGAGTAGAAGGAAAAATTTTCTTCTAATTGGGAAGGTCCCTACAAGGTAGCTAAAGCACTAGGGAACGACGCATACTACGTAAAAGAGTTATCCGACAAACCAGTACCACGCACATGGCACGACCTCTTTACTCAAAATTTATTTTAGTTAAAGTTGTATACGTTGTACCGACATGTACTCTTTCCTACTACCAACATTTTTTTCTGAAAAGGGTTTTGGTTGGGGAGGTTTTATGTCCACAGTTACCTTTGAACCAATATAGTGGTCAGTGCTTAAAAACCGATTGGATGAATAGGCGACGAAACTCAAACTTGAAATATGAATCCACATTCTTTTCGGAGAAAGATAGGGAGAATCATTGCGATATGTTAGTTTTTGAAACACAAAGGATTGCGAGTCTAATACAAGGAGAACTTTGGTCAGTCGTCTTCAAAAAAATACTCTTGATTAGGGGCCAAATGACCACTTTGAAGAAGCTTCCTTTGAAATTCTTATATGAAGATGTGTACGACAAGAAAATGGCAGAAGTTGGTTAACCAATCAAGGACAACCATCTCACCGGAGAAGACAACCGAGTGCTAAAATGTGAAAGAAAAACCTAAGGAGTCAGTCGCAAACGCAAACCTTCACACAAAATGTGAAAAGCTTCTAAGGCGGCTGTAACAAGTCCCACATTGGGGAGGTCTCCTTACCAGGGAGGCCTTATAAGGTAGGAGGTTCTCCAACCTCTTGAGCTAGCTTTTGAGGGATGGTTCCCCTCTTAGCCTTATGGTTGTTACATTGGTGCTTTCGTTGAGAGCCAGCCAACTCGAGAAGGGCTACCCACGGAGGGTTCTGACCGCCGGAGGGTTCTGACCACTGGAGGGTTCTGACCGGTAAGAAAGCCGAGTAAAGTGCTAGTGAGTGAAGTGCCGGTGAGTGAAGTGTCGTGGAGTGCAGCCATCGAGGACGCTGGCTTTCGAACGGGGTGGTATTGTAACAAGTCCCACATTGGGGAGGTCTCCTTACCAGGGAGGCCTTATAAGGTAGGAGGTTCTCCATCCTCTTGAGCTAGCTTTTGAGGGATGGTTCCCTTCTTAGCCTTATGGTTGTTACAACGGACTAACTATTCGAATGTAGTTGTGTTGGTGTAACGTTTAACACGCGAACATGGTAAAATCATCAAATAGAAGACGAACATGTATATCGGAGAACAAATAGAAGACGAACATGTATATCGGAGAACAAGCAAGAATAAATATAGAAGTATTCTGCATTACCTTCTTGGTTGTGACAAACATTATCCATAGCGTTGTAACGACGAATGTGACCATCATCTTGTCCGGAGCACCTTCGGACAATAGATCCTGGTACTCAATATACGACTTCAGCAAACTCGACCACTGATATTTCGAGTAGATGGTCTACCCAGTTGTATCCTGGCATTCTGATAGGTCATCAACAACCCCGTCAACATTAGTGTCTTCCAAAATAATGTCGGAAAACAGACAATCCTCAACAAGGACCAAGCCATCTATAATCGTCTCTGAAGAGTCAGCGGATACACGTTCCACACCATCTCCTCTCAAGCTATCGCCCAGAACATCCTCCACCCACATACACTTCTCAGATTCAGAGGAGGAAGAGAAAAAAGAATAAATCATGTTTACCTCAAAAGAGAAGGAATAACAACTAGCAGGATGGCAAGAGAGCAAGCAAAGGAAGAAGGTGGAGCACTTCACGAAACAGTATACCGCAAGGCTAACTAACGTAAGAAATGATTCAGTCATCCCATTATACAGGGGCGAGCATGCAAAACGAGACCCTCCCCCAATCCTAACGGTTGGATCTTCTCTAAACCAACGACCCTCAAAAGCAGCATGGGAAATTATTTAAAAATTCTTGTTATTTTTTCCCACATAAAGACCAAAGTTGTCCCATACGACAGGCGAGTGAGGACATAAGTAATCTGTAGACTAACAAGTCTTCCACCACCACATAAAATCTGAACACTCAAGAAACATGATTACGACAGACAGCTCGGACTTTAGAGAACATATGTATTGTATTTTACCAAAAACCTTAATATAATCTCATCTCGAAAAATTTTAAATAATCATAGTCATATAAATATTTTGTACGTGAAAGGTAGTATAATTATTTAAAAAATTCTATAAATATATCATATTATCACTAACTTAATCGTTAAAATATTATTAGAGGTACTTTAGATGGTGAAATGAGAATGGAGACCGAACACTGCAGACCCCAAGACAAGTGCTGGAGGCGGTAGCAACTGATAAAGGTTGAAACACTAGCAATCTAACACATCAATGGCCTCAAATTTCAACTTTCTCTCCATCATTCTCTTCCTTGGTCTGTTTTTCCAGGTAATAACTCATTTTCTTTTATATGTAACAGGACATGTTTTATTGTATTAATGCTTACAACCTTCATGTTTTATTATATTCCATTATTCTCTCATTGCTTTCACATTCTAAAAAAAACTTTATAATCAGACTTATTTTGATTTGTTAGTTCAATTCAAAATAAATAAATATTTTGTTCCATATTTTCAGGTTTAATTATTATTATTTTGCTAATTTAAAATTTTTTTCTTGTACATTTCACCATTATGTTTTGAAATGTTTTACACATATATTAAATATTTAACAAAATGATGAGAATACATTTAGTTTTATTACAATTTATTGTTAAATAATGCTCTATAGTTACTAGTAATATATATATATATATATATATATATATATATATATATATATATATATATATATATAATTTAAAACTAATTCCAAAGTGATTATGTTGATTGAAAATCCTATGTAGTCACATAATATACATGTATATGTTACACAACACTATTTAATTCATTGGTGATCATAATATTGCAGGTGATGTGTTATAAAGCTCACAAATTGTGTGATATATTAAAATTATTTTATATACAAAATATAACAATATTTTTTAATTATAATTACAAATGATATATAAATTTTTATTCACGTACTAATTAAAAAAATAATGAAATAATTAATAATAAAAAATAAATTCAGTTACATGTTAAAAAATTAAATTTATATTAAAATATAATTTTGATTTTATTATAATAAAAAATTATAAAATTACGTATAATTATAATTTATATATTATTAATATTAATTTATATATAACAAATATAATAATATTTTTAAATATAAACAATTACTTATAATATATATTATACAAATTTACTTAGATGTTTTCAAAATTTTATAATCCAGGTATTTTATTTGTAAAACTAAATTCAAAATATAATTACATGATTATTATATATATATATATATATATATATATATATAAATAATTAACATTAGTTTAATTCAAAATAAATATTAAATATAAATAAAACTGAATATAATTAACTAAAAATACCACATAATAAAAAATAAGATTATATATTAATAAAATATATATAAAAATTTATATATATATATAACATTGTAGATTATAAATAAAAAATTATGAAATGAGAATATATTTGAGGATAATATGAATAATAAATATGTAAATAATTTTCTATTCATTTTTTCTTATATAAATATATTTATATTTTATAATTTATTTTTATAAATAATATTAAATTGTAAAATATATTTTAAAAAATAATAATATAATTTGTAATATATATTTTATTTAAAATAATTTTTTTATTAAAATTAATTAATAAAAAAATTAATATAATATATATCTTTAACAAAGATAATTAAGGAAAACAAATATACTTTACCGTATCTTTATTTCTTTTCAAATCGCCATATTTTTTATTGAAACAATCGGTACTTCCAATTTTTTTAGTCTATAGTAAATGATGTGAAACAAACGCATGCTCAAAGAAGAATTCATCTATTGCAATTGTTATTTAATTTAACCTAGATTTGTTCCGAAATTGTCAAGTCATATTGACATACATCAATTGAATCTAAGGTGAAATCAAGTGCATCAATTTTGTATGAAATGGGCAAGGAAAAGTAGCATGCTGTAGAGCCAATAACCAACATTCAATTGAAACAAAAAGAAACAGTAATACAGATAAGTTAGATCCAGTTTGTTTTCGTGTAGGAAAAATGTTAATGTAGCATTGCACAAATACAGAAGTAAATCTAACAATGCAGAACTGTGAGACCTTTTATGAGTGAAGAGCCTGCTTATATAGCAACCCTAAAGAAGTGAACTCACTACCTTGGTTAATGTTAGCAGCATGCTAAAATCAGGTTACATTGTTAACAAAAGAAGATTTAGTGGAACATAATCTACCATGTTAAATTACTTTTTCATCTATTACTTAAGATAAATAGGACCACAGCTAACATTTTCCTATCACTGGTACAACCCATCAACCAATCAAATAATCATTACGAATACAACCTCGACGTGTAAGCTTTTGTAATGGTGTCATCTTTATGCATGAGTTGCCCTGGGCCTGAAACAATCAATATTGCACAATCCTACTGATCTCACCATGTCCCCAAAACTGCAGCACAACAGAGAAAAATTGTAAGACATAACATTAGCAGAATAACATGAGCACATCCAACGAGGTGTGTAACTGACCGGTCAATGCTATTTCTAGCTTTCTCAGGAATTTCTACTCCATTACATGATTTCTCAGAGCGATCTATACTCTTTCTTGATTTATCTTTCTTATCTGGACCAGCTCTTGACTTTTCTTTGTGGTCGGTGCTTGTCCTAGGCTTTTCTTTGAAGTCAAAACTCCGTCTCAAATTCTCCCTTAGATCCATGCTGAGTCTAGGTTTCTCTCTGAAATCTGTGCTACTCCTAGGTCTGTCCAGTTGATCAGGAACAGGTCCAAATCCAGTTTTTTGATAAGGTGACCTCTCAATAGCCACAATAAATTTCTTGAGGTGCTTTATATATTGAGGATAAAGCTCCAGGTTACAATGATTTCCTCCTTTAATCCATAGGGGTTCATACTTTTGTTTGCAATGTTCCCAAAGTTGCTTCCCGTGGGAGCAATCTACTACGTCATCAGCTGTTCCCTAAAAGATACATATGTCAACACAAAAGAAAAATCATCTTATTATACATAAATAAATTGGATTGAAAGTTGAAAGTGATTGGTTTGATTGCATTAGGCTACTAGCATAGGCATTTAACAAAACAGTTGACCGATTAAAAAAGTCTAACCCACCAGCATGTTCCCTAACATCAAATTTAACTAAGTCACCTAAGTTTTCATTTAAATAAGGTGGATCTCAATTTGATAGCCTAGTTGTACATTAAGTATACATATAAACCACGTTGATATGCTTTCTCTCTTATTTTAGGTCATACAACACAAAAAAAAGCACGTATAGGAATCCCCGGTCTTCATCAGGTTGCAAAACTAAGCCATGGATATTTTTAGAATAATAGTTTCCACATAAAATATGCAAAATTTGTTCTAGGTTATTAAAATAACCAAATGCTGACAGATCACTCCACAATACTCAGAGATAGGAAACTTCATTTTATATAACAGCCAAGTCTTAAAATTTCTCATTGGAAATTGGGAAGTTAGTGGACCGTGGTTGTCAACTGTATATTAAAGAATTACAGAAACATATTATTGCAACCATGACAAACCTATCACTAAGGTGTATTATATTAATAAGGACAACTAGAGGTATGCTTGTGTGGGCAATTAGGGGATTGGTTTGGGAGTGTAAAACCTGCACGGGAGGAATGATCTGCCCTGTTAGTGAAATGGAATAAACATAGGGAAGAGAGGAAGGAGGGGGTAAGAAAGTTTTGTTAGAGCAGTAGAGAAACAGATGCATTCTACGAACTAGGTCTATAGTTGGATACATGCTCAACGTACAACTAATCTAATAAATACTCAACAGAGTAACTTCAGCGGCAGAAGGAACTCAGTCACATTTATCAATAAAATAGTGTTATAGACTTCTAGCTCCAGTATCCCATCAAAGTACTTTGGCATAGTTGACACAATCACATAATGTTGTTTGAAAATTATAAATAGAAAGCTCAGGTGGGCAACCACAATGACAACGGCCAAGAATTTCTCAGCAACTGAGAGTGAAACTTAGAATGGCTCTAAACATTATTAACAGAGCAATACAGCTGAATAAGTTTCAGTCAATTTATTATTGATAATAATGAGGCCGTGAGGGAAGAGAAACAAAAAATGAGAAAACTCAGATTGCAAATGCATATATTTCATAAACTATGCGAGATCCAAAACCATGAAAGTGCCATTACTTAGTTACTTCAAATTATTAGTCGCATGCCGTTCAGTACAGTTGCACATTTAATTTAATACTATAATATACTTGTTAGAAATGAGCAGACTCACATGAATTACCAGAACTGGACAATTGACCAAAGGAATTTTATCAATGTTCTGCACAAAAAGCAGAAAAACATTACTAAATTGCAGCAATTTAAATATGTGTGTGTGGCTCAAATTAAACAATGTGATTGACCAATTTATTTAGCTAAGATAGATAGAGATAAAACCTTATAAATGTCAAACCAGTATGTCCGCTTGACAGGATACATGACTCGAACACCAGATAAGATGGGACTGTGTAGAATGACAGCCCTAAGGTTTGGTAAACGCGTAGCCAAATCTGTGGTGGGTCCACTACCGACAGATTGGCCATACAGAATAATATCTTCCTCTTTCGCCCCATACATTTCTACCAGGCATTTATATGCAGCTTCTATATCTGCATACGTGTTCTGCTCACTAGGCTGTCCAAACAAATAGCATCTTCTTCAACTCACTCCCATTCCAACAAAATATTAAGCTACCTCGTAATTATCCAGACATTCTAGCTCAAAAAACATTGAAGAAGAATAGAATGATATAAAAAAAAGAAATAAGGAAATATAGCAACCTTTGTTGAAAATAAATGATTTTGATTGTGTAAGTTTGTTCAAAGACGTATAAATTGAATAATTAAAGAGTTTAACTTTTATGCATAGGGTATAAAATTTTACACTATTAGCCAATTAAAAGTAATTGATTGCTGGTATAATTTTTAAGGTAATTGTTGTAAAAGTAAAAAATTTATCATGCATAACACAATCTCTAATTAGATGAGTATAAAAAACTATTAACATGATTGGTGCATATACTCTATTACTTTTAATTAAATTCATTTTTTTTCTGTAGCCATCCAACCGAAATCATCTACTTCTATTTCGACTATTCTTAAGCGGAACTGGTTTTTTCCTGCTAGTCAACAACTCTTTCACCAGAATATTAGGAGAATCTTCTGACCAAATATATAATTGTGAAAAAGTTTTTTTGATCTTCGAATTCATATAAAATACTTGCTAATTTATATATAGGTCATCGATTCTCCATTCAATAAAAGGTGAAATTTTCCATTTTTTTCAAATTTCCAACATGAAGAGGATTCAAGCTATTTTATCCATATGACTATATTATGACGAAAAGAAAAAATGAAAACATTTCCGTATTAAGAGTAGTCAGCAAGAATATTTCACCATGTCTAGACTTCAAACGACTTACTTTACATAGTACTATTAGTCCATTTTTACCAAAATAATATTTCTCTTGTTTTTAAAATAAAAACGTGATTATAATTAAAAATTCTACTCGTTATTATTTAATTCTTCGTTCTTAACAGCAATCCAGTTTTACTCGGATTTAGAAAAAACTATCAAATAAGGAAAACTCCTAATTATTATTTTTTTAGAATACATCTATAAACATAGCTTATACATCGCCTCAGTCTCTATCCGGTCAATTGATTAACAACGTGACAGCTAAATCATAAGGTTACTGTTTCAAGATCAATCAGTCAGTGCTCGAACCATATGATTAAGGGTCTGTTTGGAAACAAAAAAATTAGAAGGACTTTTAAGAACTCCTCCGTCGGGAAAAAAACTCTATATTTCTCATGAGGAAGTTTTCAAAAGCACATCCAATATCATGTAAAATAAATCCAAAACTCAAACAGAAAAAAATTGCTTACCTTCCCAGAAGACTGGCCGTACCCAGAATAGTCATAACTACGAAAACAAAAAGAAAAATTGGTACCGTGAATAAACAACGTGGCATGACATTACAAGTAATATCAACAACAATAGTAAGTAACATAATGTAATGTATGGTTTAGTGAGTAGTGACCATAAGAGATTGACTCGGAGGTGGTGACTCAGCTCGGAGAACAACTCGTACATCTGACCTAGATCGGCGGCGTTGCCGTGAGAATAGAGCAGGGTGGAGGAGGCGGAAGGGTTTGCAATGTAGATGGCGACGATGGTGTTCCCTCGTCTGGTGCAGAGCTTCAAAACGTCGACGTTTTCCCTGGTGGCCACCCCCGTCATCTTCAGCTTCCCCGTCACGTCATCCACCCCGACTCCATACGACGCCGGATTGGGGGGGAAGAACGCGAACTTCGCCGCCATCGACGACGTCACCGCTCCCATTAGTCAATAGTCAGTATCTCCGTTCCCAAGTTTGGAATCAATTTGGAAAAGGAAAAAAGGAAAAAGGAGGAAGAAGAGGCACGTGTGCTGTAAGTGTGTGAGTGTGGGTATTAGGTGATGATGTGATGCTTAAGAAGGGATTGGAGTATGACAGTGTGACGCTGACTTGTTGATGTTTGACACGTGTCGGTTTAGGGGGGTGCTTTGAGTGTACACACATGATCTTTTCTCGTCTCTTTGTTACACGTCAATTGTCATAATTTCGACGCCCATGTACGAAAAAATATACAAAATTTTTAATCTTTCAATTCTTAATATTAATGATTTTAATTCAATCATCAACATTAAGAATTAAAATATTGATATCGTATAATTTTATTTATTTATTTTAGATTGATTAAGTTTTTGAAATTTGGTAAAATCGTTAACCAATCCAATCATAATTGGGTATATTAAATGAAACTAAACTCAATAACACAAACTAAACTTAAAAAATGAAACTCACTTAGGTTAGATTAGATGGATTTTGAGGTTAAGTAACTTTATTTATTTTACTACTTCGTATCATATTTATAATGAATTGTGTTATTTTTTAAAGGCTAAATACATTCAAGGAGACCAATAGAAGTAAAAGAACAATATGAACCTTATCTCATTATTTTGATGCCCTAATTCATAAGATTATTACAATCCCTAGTTGGAGCATAATATTCATATATGACATTATAATTTTAGCCTAAAGTAATTTGATTTAAAGCTTTTGGCCCCCCACACTCCAATTATATGTTCCCATCCTCATCATCACCATATATTATATTTGCTACCAACTACCTGCAATTAGCACACAATCAAACAAAAATTCTTGCATGATTGAGAATAATAGCATAAACTTTTTTCTCTAGTTAGCAAAAAATAATTGCCTTAAAGGGTTGTGGCGAGAACTCAATGGAGTGCATCAAAGACAGATAAGTGTTTTGAAGGATCATCATGGTTTTCAGAATGTGGTTGAAACTCGGTGGTAAGTATAGGAACCTTTGTTAATGCTTCCACCCAAACCGAATTGAATTAATTTGATGCAACACACCTATATTTTGTACACAATTTATTTCATCTCGTAAAGAAAAAGTTATTCAATTTTATTGGTTTCGATTTTCATTTCGGGATAAGGATGATCTGAACCCATGATTGTCTGAATCCGTGTTACCTTATAATAAAATTTTGAGGAATTGGAGAGAGAGTTTAATTTATTTTAATTATTTTATGTTCTGTTAAATTTAAATCAACGTGATTACGATCAGTTCGTGTTTAGCATATAACAAGTAAATAATACGATTACTTCCACTTCCACATAATTTTTCTAGACTCCTAAATTTTAAAGTAATTACAAATTTTAAAGAGATAATTTTTTTAATAAAAACAAAATCATAACTTATAAATATATAGTTTTTTTGATCGAGAAAAATAATTTCTCTATGTAAAACATATCTTGTCCATTAATTAATGACAGATTTTTTTTTCTCTAATGCTAGAAACGTTAAATTTAAATTCAAACATTCTGATAAAAAATATATATTTAATCCCAACTCTTTGCTTCTGCGAGATTATTTCCATCAACTTTGAGATTCACATGAAACCTAAGGGTTGGATAAAATTATAATACTTAAAATAAAGTTAATTCAAATAAAATGTAAATTATCCAAAATTAGTTAAAAATATCAACAAATAAATAATTTATTACTCGTCAAAATTGAAAACAATTAATTGTTCTGTCGCCCTCAAAATCCGAACCTTTCTACCTCTTTAGGCCCATAAAATTTCTCCAGTCTTGAAGTTCAAACAAGGTTCCATTTTTCCTTAATTTCCGTTTGGTAAAGTGAAATCCTCGTTCAGAATCCATTATTAGTAACAAAACCTACCACGAATGTCTAAGTTTGAAAATGAAAAGGTTTCAATTTCGGGTCATGATCACATCACAGAATAGAATAGGTAAACCAAAGATTGAATTTTTCATCCCAAAACATGTTATCATAAATTATTTTAATCAATTATATAGTCTTGTGAATGGTTCAAATGGAGCAAAATAATCACATTTGTAAAAGTTTAGAAAATTTCAGATTTTTGTATTTTCTAATTAAAAAAATGGTTTTCCTAAGCTTAACGTTGAGCAATGAATGAGCTTATAAAGTGGATTATAAAATTGATCCACCAAGATTGGGCCCACCAAACGGCAACACTATGCTCCCTCCGTTCACCATTCTCCATCACTATCAGCCGTCGATGAACCAATCAAATGTTTCTATACAAAATGAATTTTGGTTTAAAAAAAAATGGTCAAAAGTTATAAAAAAATAGAACCAAAACTGAACTTTTATTCACAGACTAAACCTTACAATTTAACACTAAAGTTAAAACGAGTACAATTATTATAGTTTAACAAATCAACACTAAGTGATTAATCATGAAAATAGATCTGGTGACTGGCGAAAACTTAGTGGTTGATATCGTGGACCCGTTCGCACCTGAACACAGAAGGAATGGGATAAGTACCACACAGTAATATTGATTATTGAATCTTGTTGTTCCCTTTGTCAAATAGTGACAAAGTAAATCCAATCCAACCAGCCAGAGCGAGAGAGAGAGAGAGAGAGACAGACTCTAACCTGAACCAAACTTCCTTCTTCCATGTTCATGTCACAATCTCAATTCTTCAACCTCTATCAACATTTTTTTCTCATCAATGGGACTGCATGGTTCCAAAATCCAAGGTAATTCTCTCTCTTCACCCCCACCATAGCTCTCTGCCTAAAAAAATATATTTTTTCATTGCGCGATTTACATGATCATCTGGGGTTTTCACATCTTTACCATTTCGGATCTTGATCTAGGGTATTGGAATTTTTAGCTCTGGGATATTGGTGATTGACAAAAAAATTTAGGTGTCTGTGATTTGGTTGGTGTTAGGGTGTGGACTAGATGTTTGAATCTGAATTTTTGCTTGATTTGGGGGTTTGAAGGAAATAAATTAAGGACATGGATTGTGTAGGGCATTCTTCTGAATCTGGGTCTGGAGTTTGTGTTGCTCAATCCGTGGAAAATGGAGGTTTTGGTGGAGATGGGAGGTGCTCCAAGCAAGCTTCCTCTCCAAGGAGTGGTGGGTCTAGAAATACCAGTCCAATGGGGCGGGGCGGGGCGAGGAACACGAGCCCTTCGCGGCAGAAGGTTGTTAAAACCAAGCCAAGGGGTTTGGATGAGGAAACTCTCGCCACATTTGGTAAGGTAGTACATGCTGATGTTCAAATGGAGGATAATATATGGGCAATGTTGCCTGAGGACTTGTTGCATGAGATCTTAGCTAGGGTTCCCCCGTTTCTGATTTTCCGGCTCCGATTGGTTTGTAAACGGTGGAATTCGCTGCTTCAGGATAGTAGTTTCCTCAAATTCCATTCCAGTGTGCCATCACATGGACCGTGTCTCCTTACGTTTTGGAAGAATACGCAGATCCCGCAGTGTTCGGTTTTCTGCTTGCCATTGAAAACTTGGTATAGAATACCTTTCACTTTTTTGCCACCATGGGCATTCTGGTTAGTTGGCTCCTCTGGTGGTCTTGTTTGCTTTTCTGGGCATGATGGGCTAATGTTCAAGACCCTGGTGTGTAACCCCCTCACTCAAACTTGGAGAGCACTGCCTTGTATGCATTACAATCAACAAAGGCAACTGATATTGGTTGTTGATAGGGTGGATCGGTCATTTAAAGTGATAGCCACAAGCGATATTTATGGGGACAAGTCATTGCCAACTGAAGTTTATGACTCAAAGATAGACAGTTGGACAATTCACCAGATTATGCCAGCAGTTAATCTCTGTTCTTCAAAAATGGCATATTGTGACTCCAGATTATACTTGGAAACCCTTTCACCACTTGGTCTGATGATGTATGGACTAGACACAGGTCACTGGGAACATATTCCGGCTAAGTTCCCTCGATCTTTGTTGGATGGTTATTTGGTTGCTGGTACCCAGAAGCGTCTTTTTCTTGTTGGAAGGATTGGCCTTTATCGTACTCTACAGAGTATGAGAATTTGGGAATTGGATCATACCAAATTTACGTGGGTGGAGATCGGTAGGATGCCCCCAAAGTGTTTTCGTGCTTTATTGAGATTATCAGCGGAGAGATTTGAATGCTTTGGGCAGGATAATTTAATATGCTTCACGTCTTGGAACCAAGGGAAGGGCCTTCTATATGATGTGGATAAAAAGATCTGGTCATGGATTGGTGGCTGTGCTCTTCAGTCATACAACAATCAAGTTTGTTTCTATGAGCCAAGGTTTGATGCTTCTATATACTAAGCTAGAGCCTCATGACATGATGTCAGTTGTACATCAACATTTACCAAGCCGAGGTTTACCAGTGATTTTCTTGACGTATGTTCTTTGCGATGACATTCTCTCTGACCATTCATAATGTTATTCCTCACAATGGGCTAATTTTCTTCATCGGTAAAATATCTTACCAGCTGCAATGAACAGCGTGCCTGACTCTGAATATTGCTTCAGCTCCATTTACAGATTTTTGTGAATGGAACTCAAGATGAAACATTATGCAAGAGGTAGTGAGACATCGTGACTGGGATGTGGAGTTGATGTGCACTACTAAAGTGAAGATTATAAACTTCTACATAAGAGTTTGGATGCTTAAAAAGGAGTATGCAGCTGTTGGTGTGGGGAACATTTTTTTGAAGACATTTTCTTACCGTACCGATTGGAGAGGCTTTAGGGCATTGAAACTGTGCATCTTAAACTTTAACTGCTCTTCTGCTCGACGTCTTACCAGTGTAATGTAACTGTTTTAAAGCTTGTCATGAAACGTTGACCATATGTAACTTTCTCGTGTAAATGGATTCTCTCCCAACGTTTGATTTTTCCTGATGAAGAAAATGATTAACTTCAAATATTGTCTTGATCTTGACCGATTATAGCAAATGATCTTGTTATTTATCTATACTATTGTTCCAGTTTTTAATGCCAATACGAAAAACTGTTTAATGTTGAGATGCGATATTCGAATGAATGCTAGGGTTACCATTTCTTGTAGTCATCGATGTCCTGTTATGTTTTCATAGATCACCCCCCATCTTTCCTGCGTGCAGAGCATCTAGTACTACTAGTACTATTTTGTGTCAATTTAGCCGAGAACAAACCATTGGAATTTGTTCACTCCATTGTTACCAAAATTGTAGATTGTTAGGATAAGGTTATTGTGATTTAATGATAATGGTTGAAAGATGAAAATATCAAATATAGCTCAGCTGATGAAATTTTTTCCGTTGATTTTCTTGATAATATTTTATAGATTCTACCATTAGTAAGTCTCTGCAAACAGATTTATGTATTGTACACCCAGTTTGATTCTCTAATAAACTCATGCTAATGCCAAGCGTTTGTGGATATTTTCCCTTGATGTATTGTAATCATTAATTGGAAGGAATTAGATCTAAGTGAGTGCATCACAATGAATGACAATTTTGGAGCTCCAAGTACCCTTTAAATAAGTATTCGAGAATGAAAACCGATGGTTCAAGAAAGTTTGAGAGCTTAGAAGAAAATAACCCCATTTTTGTGCAAATGGACAAATTAGATATTCTGCTGTCCAGTTATCTGATAGATGCTATCTAATCCAACAGTTATTGGGCTCCTACCTCACAGCTTATGTGGTCAGAAAAGTCTCATGATAATGTATCACAATTTCATTGGTTTGGTACCTTGAATGTTACTGACATGAGCACGATGGAACTTGAGGGTATAGAATTGAACACCTATATTTATACAAAGCCAGCAAAGAGATAATACTTAACTCTCTCTAATATTTTTCTTAATGGTGCAGTAGTCTATACGCATACCCATCAAGGATGTAAAGTATTATTTTCCATTTCGTTCCTTATACTTCATCCAATGCCTTACTATCATAACGTGATGATGAGGACTTTATTTTATTCGCATGTTAGATAATTGGTACGTTATAATGCATACATGATATTGGATTTTTTTTTTATATTATGATTTGATTATATGAATTACAAATTATGATATAAATTTGTTAAGTTTTATTTAAAGAAATCACCAAATCTGACATGACGATGAAAGTGGCAGTGATGATGTAGCTGAAAACGAAAGGGAGGGGAGATGTGTCATTGGGTCCACTAAAGAATGCTCTATAACCATGCCAAAACACGAAATTTTGTCTACAATTAGATAGCACAATTTATTGTTAAGTTGAGAATTCGATTTTCCGAATACTGAAACCTAAACGTAATTGTATTTTATAATTTTTCCAAACAATTTAGAATTCGATTTTTCGATAATCGAATTCTGAATAGTTTTCTTTTTATTTTGTTAAGAAAAAAAAACTAACTAATATATATATATATATATATATATATATATATATATATAATGTTATAATATGTTATAATATTTTATTTAACATTTATAGTTTTAAATTAGGTATTTAAAAAGATTTGTATATTTCTAAAATTAATAATATATTTAGATTTATTGTTGAAAGTAGTAAAATAATATTTTTAAAATATATTATTAAATATTATATTTAAATTTATTTGTATGATTAAACTTTTTTTAATTTTTTGATTTATTTGATATTATAATTTTTTTAGAAATTAATAATAAATTAGGAGGATAATAAAAATCTTCAAAATTATATGTATATAAGAAAAAATAATCTTTTGATGTAAAATTATATATATATATATATATATATATATTCTAAAATATAATTTATATTAATTACTATAATATAAAATATATTTTCCAAAATATAACTTATTTTCATTTATATATATATATATATTATAGAAATTAAAATAAATTATATTTTAGAATATATATATATATATATATTAAATATAAATTATTTTCAAGTTGATAATTATTATTCTAATTTATGTAAAATATATATGATAGCAGTTCAGGATTAACCACTCTTAAAAGTGACTCGTATGATAGCGGTTCTAGTTTAAACGCTCTTAAAAGTAAGCTGTAAGATAGCTGGTCTCACCTTAACCGCTATTATAGTTAGAAAACTAATTGATTATTTCAAAAAGTAATCGATTAGTTTTTCATAATGAGAATCAATTATTTTTTTAAATAATTGATTAATTTTTAAATAATCAATTAGTTTTTCAAATATATATTAAATAATTATAAATAAAAAAATATATCAAATTAAAATTAAAAAAAATATTTTTAAATTATATATATTATATAAATTATAAATATAAAGTTAAAAAAATTATATTTAAAATTATAACCTTAAAAATTATAGTTAAAAAATTATATAATTGTATATAAGAAGAAATAATATTTTGATCTAAAATTATATATATATATATATATATATATCTAAAATATAATTTATATTAATTATTATAATATAAAATATATTCCAAAATATAACTTATTTTCATTTATATATATATATTATAGAAATTAAAATAAGTTATATTTTAGAATATATATATATATATATATATATATATATATTAAATATAAATTATTTTCAAATTGATAATTATTATTCTAATTTATGCAAAATATATATATATGACAATGGTTCCAGATTAACCACTCTTAAAAGTGACCGTATAACGCTCTTAAAAGTGACTCGTATGATAGCGGTCTCACCTTAACCGCTATTATAGTTAGAAAACTAATTGATTATTTCAAAAAGTAATCAATTAGTTTTCCATACTGAGAACCGATTATTTTTTTAAAATAATTGATTAATTTTTAAATAATCAAATAGTTTTTCAAATATATATTAAATAATTATAAATAAAAAAATATATCAATTTTAAATTAAAAAAAATTGTTTTTAAATTATATATATTATATAAATTATAAATATAAAGTTAAAAAAATTATATTTAAAATTATATATAAAATTTACATAAATAAAAATAAAAATTATCAAGTTAAAAATAAATTATATTTTAATATATATATATATATATATATATATATATATTTATTCTCCAAAGTAAAACTTATTTCATTTCTATAATATATATATATATATATATATATATATATATATATATATATATTTTTAACTATTCAAAAAACTAATCGATTATTTCAATAATCGATTAGTTTTTTCATACGAGAACCAATTATTTTTTTAAATAATTGATTAATTTTTAAATAATCAATTAGTTTTTCAAATATACATTAAATAATTATAAATAAAAAAATATATCAAATTAAAATTTAAAAATAATAATTATTTTTATTATCCTCCTAATTTATTATTAATTTCTAAAAAAAATATTACAATACCAAATAAAAATAAAAAAATTTAGGTTATAATTTTAAATATAATTTTTTTAACTTTATATTTATAATTTATATAATATATATAATTTAAAAATAATTTTTTTAAATTTTAATTTGATATATTTTTTTATTTATAATTATTTAATATATAGTTGAAAAACTAATTGATTATTTAAAGATTAATCAATTATTTAAAAAAATAACTGGTTCTCGAGTATGAAAAACTAATCGATTACATTTTGAAATAATCGATTAGTTTTTTAATTATAATAGCGATTAACCGGAACCGCTATCATACAGATCACTTTTAAGAGCGGTTAAACTGGAACCGCTATCATATATATTTTGCATAAACTAGAATAATAATTATCAACTTGAAAATAATTTATATTTAATATATATATATATAATTTATTTTATTTTCTATAATATATATATATAAATGAAAATAAGTTATATTTTGTAATATATATTTTATATTATAGTAATTAATATAAATTATATTTTACAATATATATATATATATATATATATATAATTTTACATCAAAATATTATTTCTTCTTATATACAATTATATAATTTTTTTAACTTTATCTTTATAATTGATATAATATATATAATTTAAAAATATTTTTTTTAATTTAAATTTGATATATTTTTTTATTTATAAATATTTAATATATATTTGAAAAACTAATTGATTATTTAAAAATTAATCAATTATTTAAAAAAATAACCAGCTCTCAGTATGAAAAACTAATCGATCACTTTTTGAAATAATCGTTTAGTTTTTTAACTATAATAGTGGTTAACGTGGAACCGCTATCATACAGATCACTTATAAGAGCGGTTATACTCGAACCGCTATCATATATATTTTGCATAAATTAGAATAATAATTATCAACTTGAAAATAATTTATATTTAATATATATATATATATATATATATATATATATGTAAAATATAAATTATTTTAATTTCTATAATATATAT